ATCCTTGTTGGCTACTGAATCAAAAGCCCGTTTATTTTCATCTCTTTAAATTTAGTGTGTAGTGCTGAAATGTATAGTGTATAAAAATACACCGTCCTCCAGCAGTGGCTGCCAGCCTGGATGCCCGAAGCTGACTGCTTCAGTGCCGTGCTCCTGCCTGACACAGCCGCGCCATAGCAGTCCAGCAGCTCCAAGAAGTCACACACAGTGGCGGGCAGCTACACTTGAAACTTCTGACCTCGCGTCCGAAGTGGGCAGTCATGCTGCCCAGCAATCCTGCTGCGGCGCTTTCCCACCCTCTTTCCCTTCGTAGTTACTGCAGCGACCTCATACTTTCCCTGAACGCAGGGCAGTCGGGAGGGGACAGCTTGTCTGTGACTACAAGTCCTCCAGTTGAAGTGGAGGTGTGTGTGCACCTCGCCCCATTCCCCTCATACTCTGGGGCCCAGTTATTGCACACGCCTGCGAGCATCGTGGACTTGCCCCTGAGTGGGCTCTGTCACCCAGCGTAAAAGGGAACTGTCCCGGCCTTGCGCTCCCAGCTGCTGCCACATCCCTCTGGCCTCCCTCTTACCTTGGCCCTCTCGCCTGTTCTTTCAGCCCGTCCCTTACGGTGTCACTCTCCTTGCAAAATCCAGTGGTGGGTTCTGTTTTCCTTTCATTTGATATACTTGTGGTATTTGAGGTGGTTGTCTTTGGCCTTTTTACAGATCCCTCCTCTAACCCTTCCTGGTTATTTTCTCTTGTTTTGTGAGTTGGTCGAGCACCCTCGGGCTTCATCTCTAACCGAGCTTGGCCCTTCCCCTCCGCAACGTGATCCCTCCCAGCACTGGGTTTTCAGTTCCCTTTGCACACTGCAGGCTGCCATCACAGCTGAACCACAGTTACAGGTGGCAGATGGGTCTCGCCCCTCTGCTCCTACCTGCTTCTCCCTTTGTCATAACCATCTTCACCCAGTTCCTCTGGCCTCTGGAAATCAACCATCTTTCCGTCACATGGTAATGTCAGCGATCCCTTAAGCAAGCTCTACTTCTAAAATACATCTCAGGCCAGGCTGCTTCTTGTCATCGCCACTGCAACCATCCTGGTCTTATCACCGATGAATGTGGCATCTGCCCAACCTCCATTCCAAACAGCAGCCTGAGAATGCTTTTAAAAATCAGATCAGGTCCTCTGATCCGATCAGGCCTAGGAGTTAAGTTAGCACTACCACCATGACGGCCTGAGTTTGATCCTGGCCAAGGAGCTAACGCACACGGGGCAGCAGACCTCTCCTGTCTCACCTACTGCTTCCCTCAGCAGTGTATTTCAGTGGATCCACCTGTTCTGCTCCCCACTCTGTCATTGGTGAATCCTCTCAGTTCCCCCCCCCCCTCGTCCCCTGCCACCACCACCTCTGGCCTAGACCCCGGTTCTTCTATACAAGAATAAACTTTAAAAAAATAAAGTGAAAATCAGGTCATGTCCTTCCCCTTCAGAAAACTCCTTGATCTTCTAATTGCACACTGTAAATCTAGAATTTGCTAAATCTAGAATTGTCACAGGCTGATCACATTCTCTGGGATCAGGATTTCATCCAGCTTCCCAATCTCATGTTCTGTCCACCCTTACTTACTCACTGCTTTGCTCAATGGCACATGCACCTGGGCCTCAGTTACCACAGGTATCTATAGCTTCTAGGCACTGGTTTTAGCCATAGTTTCCTCTGTCTGGATTATTCTATTCTGGATCATGGTACGGCTGCCTCCCTCCACTCAGCACAAAAGCCTCTCAAGAGACCTCCCTCGAACCCCCTACCTGAGGATAAGGCAGCCCTGTGTGTTCTGGAGGCCCTTGACCTCCTACCACACTGCCCTTTAAAGCACTGGCCACCATCACAATGTTCATCATTTGTCTTTCTCGTCATTTCCATGTCACCCTACACAACACAACATCCTACACAGTAGCTGAGACAGCAGGTGCCAAATGAATGTGTGTTCAGTGAAATGGGCTGTCTTAGCTCAGGCTGCTAAAACAAACACCATAGACCGTGGGGCTTGAACAACAGACATTTCCCATGGCTCTGGAGGCTTTGGACTCAAGAGCAAGGTGAGGGCAGTTTCATTCCTGGTGAGGAGCTGCTTCCTGAGTTGAAGCTGAAAATCTTAGTAGGATTTTCTACCATTCGTGCTTCCCTCAGTCAGGTTTTCCTGAGTCTTATGCCCATCCCTCACTCCCCCTTAGCAAAAAAGGATGAGAAATAATACCAGGGGCTTGCCCAGGGGCCCCAATTCTGCTTCCTGCTTCATGCGCTTCTGATTCGGCCAGGTCTGCCCCTGAAGCCTGTTCGGTGTGCTCTTCACAGTTCCCTGGCTCAAGGTTCGGTTTCTGGGTGGGGAGAGAAAATACCAAAGGCACATCCTGGTTGTCCTGAGCATAAATCCGCTTACCTAACAGCGACAACTGAGTACCTTCCAGATGTCTCAGCCCTTTACACATAATACCCCAAATCCTGGGAACAGTGAGTGACAAGGAGCTCTGACCATTCCCATTTATGGATGAACAGACTTAGCCTCCAAGGGGGCAGTCACCTGTCCACATGACCAAGCTAGCAGCTACCCCGGCTAGTGCCACCTGAACCCCTCTCGCTCCTGTACTGTGGAACTGTGTTGCAGCAGCATCCATGGTCTTGGAAGTCCAGCCCTGTGGACGAGAGGACCTGCAGTCTCATGAGTATCCTTCTGGACCACAGTCAGTGAGGGGTGTCCCCATGCAGCCCCCTACTGCCAGACCATCTCCTGCCACCCCCTGCAGTGGGGCTTGACCCATTCTGAAACCCTAGACAGCAGCTGAGCGTCTCGCTGCAGGCTGGACGAGTAGCTGCACCTCAGTTCATTTAAGTGGAGCCCGAGAGTCTTCGAGTGTGTGGTCAGCCTGAGCCAAGAATAATGGCATGATCCCTGCCTGAGAAGCCACTGTGCTGTGCATCGGGCCATGGTAAGGGGTTGCTCAATGTTTAGCGAAATACTTCTGTGCCGTCCAAGGATCCCGATAACGTCAAAGCTTGACGAACACCCACAGGTCCTTTTAAACTGATAACACAGAAGAGAAGATAAATTCTAGAAATTTCATCAACCATCTAGTGATTGATTACCCTTAGATTGCCCGGTCCCTCCCCCACCCGAGAATAAAATTCCTCCCTGTCCCATATGTCCCCACATGCCTTTCTCTCCATACAGTCTTCCATCAACACATGTGGACAGGTGATCTTTTCTCGAGTACAAACTCGGCTGTTTTCTCAAAGTTGTGCCACTGGCTAATAAAAAGCTTTGCATGCAGAAACAATCTCGTGGCTCAGAGTCTGAGGGCATGCAAGAAGACACGACTGGGATTATAGCACCATAGTCCCAGGCTTCATCTCCGCAATGCAGCCCCTGCAGAACCAGCACTGTGAGCACAAGTGGGTGGAGGGTAGTGAAAAAGCTGGGAACTACTCGAGGCAGACCCTGCTATTCTGAAAGACATGCAAAATGCAGTCCCCACCAGGGCCCTGCCTGCGGCTGCGGCTTCTGGTGTGCTGGAACAGTCCAAGAGCCATTCATAAGGGGCCTCCCTGAGATTCCAGCCTGAGGACATACAGCACTTGTTTTCTTTTCTCCCTAAGTACAGGCCTAGGAACTTCACTGGGCCAGCTATTGCCTCAGCTTGCTCCTCCAGAACCAAGTCAGCCCTTTCAGAACAGTACAGGGCCTGCATGCGGCTTTCAATTGTGGAATAGAGATCTGCCTTCTGTCTTTCTTTCAGGAAAACAGTTAATGGGGGCCCACCATAGGAGACAGAGGAACAGGAAAGAGGAAGGCGGCCCATACTTCTCTCCCAGCTGTATCCTCAAGGGAGGGCAAAGTACCCCCCCCCACCTCCTCCAGGGCTGCCCACAATCAGGCTGTAAGATTAGACTAGTCTTTTGTCAGCTCCAACCCTGAGCAAAGGAGCTGGTGGCAAACTGGCCTGGCCAGCTAAGTGGCTTCCACTCTCCTGCTGCCCCAGGCCACAGCTCCAACTGTCAGGCTGCCCTTGGCTCCCTGCTCTTCAAAGGGTAAGTTTGGAGCTGGGGTGATATAGGCAATTGACCCAAGGCAAAGCACCTTCAGGCTCCAGACCTGACACAACCCACAACTCCCCACACACTCCTTGAATAGGGACCTAAGCAGGCTACCTCCAAAACTGGTCATGGGGGTTCCTGGCAGCGTTCATCATCTACAGAAATACACACACAAATACTCCATCGTCATAGATGCAGCTACATTTCCCACCTAAATGTAATCAGTGGTGAGGCAGGGTCATGGGAGAGGGGGCCCACCTCTGTAGCCAGGCAGCAGCTCACCTAGGTGTCTCATTGATGTCAAAACAAAGAGACCAGCATTCTGGGTGTAAGAGACAGGGATAAGTCCTGAGATCCCTCTGGAATCTTCTATGGCTCCCAACTCCCTGCCTCCAGCATATACCCACAAGCCATCATCTACCTGGGTGCAGCACCGACATGGCCACCAGAGGGCGCAATCAGCCCCCTGCCGTTCCCACGAAGCGTCCCCCTCCACCACTTGGCGATGAATATTCCCCAGGGCTGCTCTCTCTCAGGAACTTTGCAGGGGCGTGGGACAAGAAGCAGAAATGAAGGAAGCCAGGTTCTCTGGTCTCAAGACATTATCAGTCCAGCAAGTAAAGGAGACAGCTCCGGAAGCCAACAGAAAGGTGCTGAGTCAGCCTTAGCAGGGCTGCCTGGCATGGCCTGGGACAGGCAAGACACGGGCAGGAGGCCCAGTGTGAGCTCTGGGAAGGACAAGTCAGCAGACTGCCTTGTGAAGACGACTGACCGCAGTGACTTCCCCCTTGGAGAGCCCTCAGGCATCCTGTGGACCCCCTGCTTCTCCTTGGCAGTTCCTCCAAGGAAGTACCCCATCACCTTTCCTCCTGTCTCCTTCCTCCACTCACACCTCCAGTCTGCTCAGGGTTTGGCGTGCTGGTAGCATTTATTGAGTGGCTGTGATATGCGGGGAGCAGGAGAGGCAAGTTGGGGCCCGGGGGGTGGGAGTAGGGGTGCTGGGCAATAGCTTTGCTATTAGGCTGTCGTGGGGCCCCGGCAAAAGTTCTGGTTATAGAAGTGGCGGTTGTCCCTGGTGAGGGCCATCCCCAGCTGGGCCCAGAAGCTGCCCTGGCCACTGGGCCGGTGAGGCCAGAGGAGCACGCTCTGCCGGCAGAGGCGCTGACGCAGCCGCACGTAGCGGGAGCGGTGGGCGTCCTCGGGACGCAGGATCACCAGCACCACCACGTCCTTGCGGTCCTCCAGCAGGCGCTGCTGAGCCAGCAGGAAGCTGGCCCGCAGGAGGCTGCTGACCCGGTCGGTGTGGGCCAGCACGAACAGCGTCTTGTGGCTGCTGTAGATGGAGTCCCACAGGTTCTCGAAGAGCGTTTTGCCAGGTAGCCAGTCGCGCTCCTCCAGACACAGGCGCAGGGCTCGGCGCCCGCGGCCCTCCTCCAGCCGCCCCCGGAGCTCGTTGTACACCCAATCAGCCACTGCGTTCTGCCCCTTGTCGAAGACCACGAAGGCGTCGTAGGCCGCGGCCCCCGCGCCCAGCCGCCGCCCCCGCCGGGGCAGCCAGGCCAAGCACAGGTGGAAGCAGTACCAGAGGTCCCAGCCGCAGAGGTGGTGCAGCATGGGCCCGGTGAGGCCCAGGGTCAATACCAGCAGCGAGAGGCGGAAGCAGAGCCAGGAGAGCGACTCGTCCAAGCAAAGGCGCAGGTCCTGGGCGAAGATGCTGAGGCCCTGGAGCTGGCCTGGACTGCCGCACCTGATGCGGTTGGGGAGCCCGGGCACCGCTGCCTGCACCTCCAGCAGGAAGTCCACAAAGGTCGCCCCACAGGCACAGTGCAGGGGGTTGGCGCTCAGGTCCAGGACTTTGAGGGCCAATGCGACAGAGCCAAACCAGGAGGGATCCACCGTCCTGAGGGCGTTGTCACTGAGGTTGAGCTCCCTCAGCCCCTGGGCCAGAGCGAAGAAGCCTGGGACCACGAAGCTGATGCTGTTGCTGCTGAGGTCCAGCCTTTGCAGCTGGGTGCCGGCAGGCAGGCTCCCGTTGGCCAGCGCCTTCAGCTGGTTTCCCGCCAGGTCCAGGGCTTCCAGATTCGGCAGAAGGGCCAGGCTGCTCCAGTTGAAGAAAGCCAGGAAGTTGTCACGGAGCCACAGCTGGCGCAGGCTCTTGGGGAGGCTGTCCAGGTTGCGTGACAGCAGGGTGTGCAGGCGGTTCCGGGACAGATCCAACCCGACCAGAACTCTCAGGCCTTGGAAGAAGCGGAGGTAGAGGTCTCCCTCAGCCCACATGCGGTTCAGGTCATTGCCGCTGAAGTCCAGGGCCCACAGGGAGGCGCTGCGGAGTTGCTGGGACACACGGCTGTGGATGTCGTTGTGTGCCAGGCTGAGGTAGCGCAGGGCGGGCAGCCGGGACACGAAGCTGAGGTTGTGGCCCACGCCCTGCATGCTGAAAGGCTGGCTGTTATAGCTCAGGTCCAGGGCCTGCAGCCTCGGCATCTCTGTGAAGGAGCGCCCGTGGTACAGGTCCAGCTTGTTGTGGGACAGGTCGAGCACCCGCAGGTTGGTCAGTGGCACAAACTGGGACCCATTGACGGCCTGTGAGATGCTGTTGTGGCTCAGGCACAAGCACTGCAGGCGGGACAGGCGGGCGAACATCTCTGGCTGGACGGTCACTAGGTTGTTCCGTGACAGGTCCAAAGTGAAGTTGAGGGTTTTGCAGCGAGGCAGGAATTCCCCAGTGATGGGGCTGTTCTGTCTTAGTGAAGGGAGGCCTCTGGATCGCAGCCTCTGCTTCCCATCACTTGCCTGGCCCACGGTGGCCTCCGGCGTCCCCGCTCCGCTGATGCGGTTGTCCGACAGGCCCACAAACCGCAGGCTCGGGAAAGTCCCAAAGATGCTGAGCTGGGCCTGGTTGATGAAGTTCATCTGCAGAAACAGTTCCTGGAGCATGGGCAGGTTGGTCAGCGGCTCGAGCGTTCTCCGGTTCAGAGAACGGAAGAAAATGCCTTGCATATCCAGCTTCTGCAGCGAGACCAGGCTCCCGAAGGAGGGTGCCAGCTGCAGGTGGGCGAAGGACACCTTCTTGTGGTAATTGAAGGACAGGTTGAGCTTGCGCAACTGGGCCAGACCATAGAAGGCCGTGGTTTTGGTGATGCAGTCGTACAGGAAGTTCTCACTCAGGTCCAGCACGGTGAGGTTGCCCAGGCCATGGAACCAGGCTCTGTTCAGGCTGAAGAGAGAACTGTCCTTCAACACCAACCCTTGGAGGTGGCTGAGGTGGCTGAAAGTGTTGGGGTGCAGCCGGGGGAAGCCCTTTGGGCATTCGATGCAGGGGTTGAGGGCGTGGTCACAGCGCCGGCAGTTCCCACCCACATCAAGCACACGAAGGGCTGTCAGATTGGCCAGGTCCTGCGGCCCCAGAGTGATGATATGGTTGTAGGACAGCAGTAGGGACTCCAGGCTGGGAGGCAGGCTGCGGGGCACGGACGTGAGGTTGTTGTACTTGAGTGACAGGTGGGTGAGGTTGCGCAGTCCGAGGAGGGCGCCGGGGGCCACCTCCACTGACCCCTGGCAGGGGTTCTTGTAGTAGCAGTTGCCGTCCATGTATAGGAAGCGCAGGGCGTGCAGGCCCCTGAGGTGGGTGGGGTCAAGAGTCAGGATGTTGGTGCGGCTCAGGGATAGCGACACCAGGGAGCTGGGCAGGGGCGGCACAGTCGTGATGCCGTTGTAGCTGAGGTTCAGGTCCTCCAGGGTGGCCATGGCCAGGAAGGTCTTGGGCTCGATGGTCATGTGGCAGGGAAAGTGCATGGGGCTGAGGCCCTCTGGCGGGCAGTTCCACTTGAGGTCCAGGTGCCGTAAGTGGGACAAGTGGACAAAGTCAGAGTTGTGGAGGTGGTGGATGCGGTTGGAACGCAATGAAAGGCTGGTGACATTGTCACGGGGTGCGCCCACTGAGAAGTGGGGCACAGATTTCAGGAACAGCCAGTCGCAGTTCACCTTGCCATATGACTGGAGCTCACAGGGCAGGAAGGCAGGGAGGGTGCCCAGGGCCAGGGCCACAGCCAGCACCACCACCTGCACCAGGAGAGACAAGGGGTGCAGGACCCTGCAGCAGGGGCCCTGTGGGGGGGGATCTGTGTGAGTGTGCGCCCTTGGTGCCAGCTCCCCCCCCTTGAGGGCATCCCACAAGAGGGTTTCCGCTCTCACCCTCCACACCATCCACCAGGCGCGGCCACTCTGTCCAGCCCCACTCCACTCTCCAAGGCTGTGGGGATCCTGGATCTCCTATCAGATGTAACCTTTGCCTCAGAATTTAGGACTCAAAACTGGTCTGGATCAGGAGTCCAGACCCATGAGCCTGCGCCTTTACTCCTAACCAAGCCCCAGCTGGACACGAAAGCCAGACAGTGGTCAGTTGGCCCCCAGGGCTCTCCCCCAACTTTCCACTTCACTTCCTCAGAGGCCATCCCCTCTCCTCCTGAGCCAGGGGGCATCTGCTTCCTTCCTGCCAACTGAAGGGCCCTCATCTTTTGGCCAAGACCCAAGTAGGAATGGGGGTTCCTGTTGCAGCCCAGACTGGCTGCCACCTCACCCAGCCTAGGGTGGGCACTGGCCACCTCATCCAACCTGAGAGCACCCAACCTGCTGTGGGTCTGATGGGTGGGAGGCAGAGGTGGGCAGCAAAGGGTCAGACAGCCCCGCCGGGTTGTCCAGCAACGTGTGCAGCCCAGCGCCAACTCTGAGCACAACCCTGGCTCAGCCTCACCGTGTAAAACGGGTCGGGTCTTTGCTCAGAGAAGGGTTGCTGTCTTCAGGGTTCAGCGAGCGAGCGAGTCTGGGGCCGCATGGCAGCACCTTCCACGCTTGTCTGCAGCTACCAAGCCCGTCTGCTCGCTACCACTTCCCGGTGGTCCCCTTCCAGGGGGCAGGTGGGCAGGGGTCCCTGAGGGCTGTTGTCCTACCATGACAGAAAGCTTCTCCAGAGGGCCTGGCTGGCCAGCAGAGCAGGAGCTGCAGGGAAGGATGCTTCAAGCCTGGTCTCTTTCTGTGGCACCAGTTTTGAGAATAACGGAAGTGAGAATTTCACAATATACTAGTAGCCCACTCCCTCACCCTATCCCCTCCGTGAGGTGGGGATGAAATGAGTCAGAGACTATTTGCATAGATTTATACCAGGCAGCCTTTCACTCCTTCCTCTTTCCACTCGGCTGTCTCCTTGCCCACAGCCACATACGTCTCTCTTAGGCCTCACACTTGTCCTCAGGGAAATATAGGGAGAAATCAAGGCCCAGAGTCCAGTCTAAGGTTAGTGAGAGGCTGGAATTAGGGGGCGGGCCAGAGGTGGGTGGGCACGCTGACACCCATGCCAGGGCCTTCCTCTTCCCTAGAGGAATCTTTCCTGCCTTGCTCAGCCCCCACCCCATAGACAACACACTTGGACCAGCGGTTCCTGCACCTGGCCCTTCCTAACCACGTGGGCTCGTGCCAGAGCTCCCCGGGCCTTGTCCAGGCTGCATCCCTCTCCGACAGCCTGGCCACTTCCCCTGCTGCATTCCCAGTGTGCCTGGTGCCCCGCGGGGCGCAATCCCCACAGCTGATCCCGCCTGGACCTCCTGGAGCAGCTGGCTCCTGGCCCTGCAGCAGTAACCCAAATTACTCCGACCAAAGACTCACGGAGACCTGGGACTCTGAGCAAGCCAAGTGAGCCCCACCTCCGAGTGCCCAGAATGGGCCACTGCCCAGCACCCTCACAGCCACCAACCTGGTCTGAGCCACCATCTCACCTGGAGCGACGAGGTGGCCTCCTCCTTGCACTCTGCCCGGCTTTTGCTCTCAGCTTGTTCACATTTGGGCCCTCCTCTGCTCAAACCCCCACTGGAGCACTTTCTGGAGTCAAAGCCACAGCCTACAAACGGCCAACAAGGCCCCACAGCCTCCCAGACCCGCTGGCAGCCATACAGGCCTCATGCTGTGCTGGAATGAACCCTCCCCTCCCAGGGCCTGTGAAGGCCCTGCCCCCTCTGGCGGGAAGCTCCTTTCCCACTCATGTGGCCCCTCCAATGTCTCCCCCAGTGCCTACTTTCGTGGCACCCTCTCCATGAGACCTGCCCTCGCCTGCTCCAGAGCTGGTCCTTCCCAGCCCCTGCATTTGCTCTCTTTGTCCTAACACTTCTACCTGCTGTCACACCGTATCGTTGCTTTTTCATGGTGTATGGTTGTCTTGATCCACTGCTGGAATGTCAGCGCCTTGCGAGCAGGGATCTTTTGTCTGTGTCCTCAGAGCCCAGCACAGTGTCCTGGAAGCAGCGCTCAGAATTGCTGACCCTGTGGGTTCCAGTACTAGCTGGGGGCATGAACGCGTATACAAACAGAGCTGCCGGAAGGAGGCATGGCTGTGCATTGGCCACCCTGCCATCCTGCTGTTTCATGGCCATTCTGGTGGGCCTTGTGGCGACTGCAAGCTGCCAGGCATCCAGCTGGCTCTCGGGCCTGGGTGGTAGAGTGGTGGGTGCATGTGTGTGTGTGGCGAGAATGACGTGGTCTTCCTGCCCACCTGAGAGCCCAGTGTTTGGGGGAAGTGGGGACAAAACTTCTCTCAGTGCTCTGTTAGCTCCCAGCTCTGTTCTAGGGGCTTTGGTAGCAGCTGAGCAAGACCCTAGTGATGGGGCCTCCCTGGTGGCGCAGGGGTTAAAGTCTTGGTGCTCTCAATCTATCACCAGTCACTGCGGCATGAATCCGATCCCTGCCAAGGAGCTGGCCCTGCAAGGTGCAACGGACCTCTTGTACACTGCTCCTCTCAGCAGTGCATTTTTAAAAAAGATTTATTTATTTATGTGTATAGATCTGGGGTGCAGGCCAGAGGTATGTGGCGGGGGTGAAAAGATTCACCAGAGTTGGGAGCAGAACAGGCAGACTGACGAAGAACATTGCTGAGGGGACAGCAGTGTATTTCAGTAATTCTGCTCCCCACTCTCTCTGGTGAATCTTTTCAACCCCCCACCCCACATTTCTGGCTTGCACCCCAGTTCTTGTATGCATAAATAAAATCTTTAAAAAAAGAAGACCCTAGTGATGGGACACTGCTCTGAACCCCAGTTTAAGATGGGCCCCCAAGAAAAAGGGCAATGCTCATTCAATAACTGTATCCATCGTCGACCCCACAGTCCCCACCTGGGATGGGAGGGGACTTCCACCCACTTCTCAGAGGCAGAGAATGAAGGCCTGTGTCCAGCTGAGTCACAAGTCTGAGATCCTCCCAGACTCCCTGGCCCCAGGGATCCAGGCCCTTGGGGAGAATGCAGCTAGCAGAAAGACAGAGCTGTCAGAGAAGTCTGCCCTTGTGCACACATGGACTGGACACACCAAGACTCAGATGTCCACCAACACCACTCCTCAGACAGACCTGTAGAGGCCGGGCAGTCTAGTGAGTAGAGCTTAATCATCATGGCAGCCTGCAGAATGCCCTCCAGGGAGTCACATCCTGGTCCTGGAAACTGAACTGGTTCCTTCACATGGTCAAAGGACTGTGCCCACCAGACTGAGGCTCTTGAGATAACAAGAGAATCTGGAGTACCTGGGAGGGGGAGGTGAACACAAGCACATGTCCTTACAGAGGGGTGGGAGCGAAGACAGCCACGCAGCCCCTGCAGCAGTGGAAAGCGGAACCAGAGGTGCTAAGCCTCTGGCCTTGAGGACAGAAGCAAGGGAAACAAGCCAAGGCGTGCCGGCTGCCTCTAGAAGGAAACGGATTCTCCAGAAGCCTGCTACGAGGCCGGCCTGACCCACGCTTTGATTTTTAGTTCTGTCAGATGTACAAGGACTCCCAAGAGGATAAATCTGTGTTATTTTCAGTCATAAAGTTAGTGGCACTTTGTCTTGGCAGCCACAGAAAACCAACACATTCAGACTGCCCGATTACGGCGAAGGCGTAGCTACCTGCTGGCAGGAATACCAGTGCCCCTGTAAGGTGTGCCCTCCCACACACGGGCACCTCCACCTGCAGCCAGGAGAGCTCGGGCCCTGCCTAGCGGGCCAGCAGGTCCCTTCTGAGTTAGGAGGGGGCGGATACAGGCACAGCACCTCCCCGGTCTCAGTGTCAGAGGTGGACTTTCAGGGTCAGACTCAGTGTTGATTTAAAAATATTTTATTCTTTAAAAAATACAGCATTCAACCATATCATTCTGCAGTGGCCCCTGCCCAGCCACAACTAATTCCACCCTTGTGGCCAAAGGCTGCCAGGGCTGTGCCAAGACCCTGGCTTCAGTTCCCCTGGGGGGGTCAGGCTCGGGCCAGGCTCACCACCTAGCCCCAATGAGACAGTCGGGCAGGGTCCCCAGATGGCCGCAGACACAGAGGAGAGGCAGAGACAGCAATGGAAGAGTCACAAATGCCAGCCCAGTGGCCTCAGAAGCTGCAAGAGAGTCCAGTTACCAGCCCTCCTGCCCAGGAAGCCGCCCTCCGCTGGTGCCCAGGCTAGGAAGGAGGGAGGTGGCCAGGAGCAGGGCAGGGCAGGGGACAGTGGGTGGGCAGGCAGCCCCACAGTACACATGCCAGCACAGCTCTGGTCTGGCCACCCTAGCTGTCGTCCCCATTCTCGCCGGGGCCGCGGATGAGGCGCTTGTGGCCCCGCTTGCCTCCAGGGCCCTTGGGCTTGGCAAAGGCTTGCTTGAAGGCATGCTGCTTGGGGTGCACCTCATCATAGAGGAATTCAGCTGTCAGCTCTGCCCCGTCATCAATCTCAATCTGTAAGCGATAAGACAGTGGTCACCCCAATGGTGGGGTGTGGGTTTGACAAAGATCACCCTTGGTCACCCCCAATTCTGGGGCACCCCCTTGATCTCTCATACTCTAGTCCTGGGGTCTCCTCCCAGATCCCCACCTCGGGATGTCACCTATAAGAACAGAAGCCTGCTGCCCTTCAAGCCTTGATCACCCCCATCTACCTTCCAGGTCCAAGGAAAGGAGAGAAGCAGGTAGTCAGGGCAACAGGGAGGGCGGGGTACAGGGTCCTGGGAAAGGGCACCCACCTTCTTAGAGATCTCCAGCTGGAAGTCCTGCTCCACGGAGTCCAGGAGGCGGCTCTTGCAGCTGGAGTACAGCATGCGCTCCTTGATGCTGCACTTGTACCCCGGCATGGAGTAGATGAACACTGTGAGGTACGGGGAGGTGAGTCAAGGTCGGCCCGGAAAGCCAGCAGGCTTCCCCCCACCTTGCCGCAGCCCAGTAGCTACAGGCTGCTTCTGCTCCTGCCCAGCCACAGGTGTGGGGGCCCTGCTGTGGCCACTCACCCACGGACTCAAGACGGTCACCCTCATGGGTGTGTTTGTAGAGGAAAAAGTGGTAGCGGGCAGCATCTCGGGGCACCCGCGAGGGCAGCTGTGCCACATCTGTGGGCTCTGTGTGCACCAGTTCAATTGTCTCCCGCTCCAGGTCCAGCTTCTGCCAATGGGTAGGGAGATGTGAGGGCCTGGGGGTGGGGGCCGCCCAGACCACGCCCCAGCTAAGAATCCCGAGGCTGCATTTGGATGAGATGGCCGGCAGGGCCAAGGAGAAGCCTGCTAGAGAGCCCCCTTTCCCTGGGCTCCCCTCCTACTAGCCTGCTTCTGGGGGTTCCTCTAAGGGAGCCACTCCAGTCCTACCGCTAACTTTGGAAAGTGCCGGAGAAAGAACTCCCACCGAGGATGGCGGATAGGGCGTGGGGAGGCCGCCCATCTCGGAGGAAGCGTGCCTGGCAACGTGCCCTAGAGGGGAGGAGCCATTCTGCTAGAAAGGGGGCAGCTGGGCGACTGGGACAGCGGGACCGTGCCCAGGAACGGCGACGGTCGGGGGCGCTGGAGGACAGCTCAGAGTCAGGGCTAAGCGGTCAGTGCCAGTGCCGGGGTGCGTATGTGTGCAGTGTGGGCGAGGAATGGTGGCAGTGCCCATGCAGGTGCGCAGGGGCTGGCAGGGGACAGGTGTGAGCACTATTCACAAGCAGGTGGATAAAGTGGACAGGCTCGGGTGGGGCGTAGGCACACGTTTCCATGTGTGTCTGAGCAGGAGTAGGGACAGGGTGTACCTTGTGTGTGCATCTGGGGCTAGGAAGGGGCACCCACCAGCTGGATATAGTTGATCATCTTCTGCTTGAGCTGCTGAAGTGCCTGCTGTGCCTCAGGTTGCAGGGGGAAGGCCAGGCCCTGCAGTGTCTGATGCTTGCTCTCCACACTGATCTCTGTCTTTACCTGGGAGTAGATGATCAATGAGCAAAGCTCTGACCTGCCCACCAAGAGTGCCCAGGCTCAGCTGACTGGGCTTGACGCGACCTTGAGGCCTCTGGCAGGGACTCATGCCCACCCTGTCTGGCACACCCACCTCATTAATACGGATCTGCTGAAGCTCTCTCTCAGCCGAGGTCAGAGGGGCTGGTGCTGCACAGGAGGACAAGTGTTTCTGGTAGCCGGCAAAAGAGAGGTCGTCCTGGCCAGGCAGATGCAGACATAGATGACACCTTGGTGGAAGCTCCCTGAGCACCAGGCTTGAAGCCCCTGGCTTCCCCAGGCCTCATCATCCCCAAGCCTGGAACCACCTGCTTTGTGACTCTGTACATCAACCCACCCTCTGTGGGCCTCCTGGACTGGGCCGGGAGTAGGTGGGGAGCCCTACCTTCACAGTTCCGAAAAGCTCATCCTTAATGTGGCCGCCCCCAAACTCCTTCTTCACCGTGGCCCTTGTGGCTGCGTACAGCATCTTTAGCCGCACCTGGGGGCAGAGGCAGCTGTGAGACCCCTCTGGGCACGGTCGCTTCTCCAGGAGCAGGCAGGAGTCACTGGGGAGGACCCGGTCTTAGCCTTGTGCCATGCACCCAGCAGAAGGCCAGGCACTGAGTTGAGGACACAGTGGCAGCAGGGGGAGCCCAGACCAGTCCCCCCCACCCCCCCCACCCCCGCCTCTGCCTCCCAGAGCCTCGCCCTTCTCAGATGCTGGGGCAGGACCTGATCCCCCTCCCCTCAGGCTTCCCAGGGCAGGGCCCTGTTACATTGCTCAGGATCCCCCCTCATCGCCACCATCTGGAGCTGGTCAGGGGTCCCTAGGACTCACGGGGGAATTATCAGGCGACCAGGCAAGAAAAAGCCACTCGAAGCCTTGGGCGTTCTTCGAGTCCAGGCGGTAGAGCAGGTAGCAGGGCTGCCGGCCATCCAGCAGCGGCAGCACGGCCCCGTCATAGTCCTTGTCCCAGCAGCCCACCGGCTCCCGCGAGGCACCGAGCACGAGCTGCTCTGGGGGCAGAGGCCGGGTGAGCCTGGGGCGCCCACCTCCCACAGCCACCTCTGGCTCTGGCCCTGCAGCTTCTAGCTCGCACCCCGCCACCCCCCACCCTCCCAGCACGAAGCAGTATGGCTGCCTCAGTGTGGATGCCTCAGCGGTGAGCCAGCGAATGGATGAGGGACAAAGCTACCAGCTAGGGGCTTCTCCCGCTGCACAAGCACACGCCCGCGGGCATGTGCACACACGTGAGTCTACGTGCCCAGATGAGCCAACACAGGCAAGCACATGAAAGACACAGCCATGTGCGCAGTCACCAACAACGTGCCGCCTTCACAGACACCCCTGGGCACTCCCTCACGGCCCCATAGGCCTCCTTCCCCTCCGTCCTCCCACAGCCTGGACTTCAGCACTCTCTTCTCAGAACACAAGTGGTGAAGGAGGCAGGTCACAGTTTCAGTCACAGGGCTCTCCAGGAGCAAAGGCAGGGCGACAGGGGCCCCGGGGTGGACAGGCAGATGTCCTGCTGCCACCTAGGAAGGCGAGCCTTTCTCTAAAACAAGAACAAAAGCAACAACTCCCTAATGCCTGGGGCCCACAGGCTTGCCACCTCCCGGGCAGTGCAGTGACTGAATGGACCCCTGAGGATGCACATACACTTGGCCGATGAGCCCAAGCCTGTGGGCTGGCCTCGGTGGGGCACCAAGCAGCAGTCTAGGTGTGCACAGGCCTCGGTCAGAGGAAGAGCTGGAGCAGCAGGACAGTCGCCTCCCCTCTGTCCTAGCCTCGACCAGGCTCTCCGATGGGGACAACAGGCCCAGGTTTCTGGGAGTCCCAACATGCCAGGCCTGCCAGGCTGGCCACCTGTTTGCACTTGGGCCTCCTCATCTACCCTCAACCCAAAGGCGATCGGGGTTGAAAACCAGCGGTCAGGATGGGCAGGTGCCCCTGGCACTGTCAACGTTCAATGTGCTGCCAATATTTCCAAATTAGGAAGTTCTACGTAAGAAGTAGAACCCACAACTTCTCTAGAAACATTCTCAGGAATATCAAGCACATTCAATTGGAGGTGGACAATGGCCGCCTGTCAGGGGTCTGGATCTTCCTGACTACTCCCAGTGGCCCAACAACCATGACGTAGACCTGAGAGAAGAGCCCAGCTAGTGGCAACTCCAGCTTCGTATCTGCAGGGACATCTTGCCTGTGTGGCAAGAGGATTGGGGTCCTCTTGGGAGCTGAGGATTGGGGTCAATGAGTCTTTCTCTTTGGAGAAAGCTACAGCTTGCTCCCCAAGAGGCCTTCACTCATGACCTTCCCCCATGACCCACCCCAACCCCTGAGATTCTCTGCCTTTTCAAACTCTCTCACTTCAGGTCTCAGCTCAAGCTTACCCACCCCCTGCTCTGCACCCCAATCCCTCCCCTTGGGTCCTTAAGGTCTAGGTCAAGGCCAAAGCAAGCCTGAGACCTCTCTATACTGTTCCCAAAGCCAGCTGGACAGCAGTCCCCCCTCCCCATTGTAGGGTACCTCCCAAGGGCAGGGCTGACTGCTCCTTGGGACTCCTTCTGGCCAGAGGCCAACTCAGACAGATGGAGGCGAGTGGCACTGGCCACAGGGGCAGTGCTCAGCCTCACTTATCACCTGTCCCCTGCCTGACCCAGCCCCGTGTGCTGCCTGGGCCCATCCTGTGTGCCTGCCTACCTGACTGTGGAGAGGCTGAGCAGGACAGGGCTTCCCTTGCTAGCCCCCAGCTTCAGTTCCTGCTCTGTACGTACTGTTCATGCCCACCTCCACTGCTCTGCTACAAGGAACCACGACCTTTTGTTCCCCAAGGGAGAACAGGTTCTAAGGGAGCTAGAAGCCAGTGTCACCCCACCTCCCAGAGCAGCGGCTGGCTCTGGTCCTCAGCCAAGGCCCTAGGCCACAGGGGGCACTCACCGTCCTCGATGACAACTTTGATCAGCCGGACAGAGCCAGCCCGGGCCTTGGCAAAGAATTCCTTCAGTTCCTCGGTGGCTACAAGAACAAGAAACATGGTGAGCAAGTGGAGTGGGCAGGGACCCACTCAGGGCCTGTTCTGTCCTGTGTGGTGTGGTGGCGGAGCTGGGAGCCGTGTTAAATACAGGCCCCCATGTGACTGGGAACCTGAGACAGACGATGAACACCAGCTCCCAATTTAGTCAGCAGAGGTGACAGGCGGGTGGCCTGCTGGCTGTTCTAGTTCTGATGATCGGGTGGGTGGGGATGGGTCAGTCCACTGAGGACAGGGCAGGCTCTGGGACAGGCCAGACCAGCCAGTATGAATAGCCCCCACCTATCCTCTGAGCCCCACCCAGGATGGCCCAACACTGAGTTGGCCTGGGACACCCTTAATGCTCTCAGTCACAGACACAGAAACACTTAGACAAATGTCCCCAATGTGCACTGTCCACTATGTTCACTGACACACACATGTGCATGCATCATATGTTGCATGTGTGAGTGGGTACACACTCTGGCCAGCATCTGTATGTGACAGTTCATAAATGCAAACTCCCTTGTCCATGAAAACACTCAGCTCTCAAACACAAATGATCATACATGTTGAGGCATGCAAACACATGTGTGAGAGATTCCCCAGAGAGCCTCTAGGGTGCTGACAAACACACAGGCAAATGCAGCGCTCAGCTAAGATGTGGAGGCAAGAGGATGTAGGAAGTATGCAGAAACATACTGACACACACTGACATACATGCAAGTGCATCCAGGCCCAGTTCACCAACCAATCGCCAAGCTCCCCGGCAGTCAAGGGAGGCTTCCTGGCGGAGGAGTGGCTCTCGGGAACTACCCAAAACAGACCTGCCTGAGTCCCTGGGCTACAGAACAGGAAGGTAACAGCCAAAGACAAAGGTTCCAAGTGCTAATCATGGTCAGCGTAAAGGAATCACAGGAAATCAGGACCTACTTCTGGTTTGGATGAGGAAAGCACGGTCCACCTGGGGAAAGGCCCTACTTGGGTCTCTGGGTGCACAGGCCAGGCCAGCATGACCTTGAAGCTGCCCAAGGGTCAGAGTTCTGTCAGAACACAGCTGGAGGGCTGAGGTCAGAGAATATTTATAGGGCCCAGACTGGGCATCTCATGGGCGGGGGAGAGGGTGCTTAAGGAAAACAAACCTGATCATGTCCTCAAGTGCCCCTCATGCAGGGTGACCATGAACCTGCCCCTGGGCAGGCTGGGTCCCCAAGTAGACCCTGGGGGCTCAGAGCAGCATGGGATGGAGACACAGCAGGGGTCAGGAAAGCACCACCCCTCGCAAGCAGGGGCCAGGGAAGAGCCTGGTCCTTAGGACACCACCCTTCTAAGGGCTACTCATGCCCCTCAATCTCATATCTGTAAGGTAGAACGAATACTCCCAAACTGGCCTGTGGTGAGGAGTCAATGGGAAAAGGCACTCAGTAACGTAACAATAATTATCACATTTTACTACTGTAACAACAGGGGCAGGCTGTGCTAAGCTGCCCCTCCGTGTGCTCAGGTCTTTTATGAGGGAAGACTAAGAAGCTCCCCCAAGGGAGAGACTGACATGCTCCTTCTAGTATTACCAGGGCAAAGTGACACCTCAGCAGAGGAAGGGACATCTCCTCCTCCCAGGCCTCACCATCAATTATCCAGAGCCCAGGCTTGGGGCACCTGAGCCTTTATCATCAAAGATTCATGCCCTTCTTCCCCCATCCCCACCCCCGCAGTCTTGCCCACCCCCTGACAGGAACCTCAGATTACAGGTCGCTCCTCTGCCCTGCTCTGAGGTCAGCAGATCCACACCTGTGGCCAGGACAGAGCTGGGCATCCATAGCAATCTCTCCCACCACCTCCCCAGGCCAGAGTTGTGAAGGAGTGGGCTGCTCCCAGGCAGGAGACAGGGGTGGGGGTTAGTGGGGAGCAGTCCCCAGGGACCCCCTAGGCAGGTCTGTCTCACACATGGGAAACAGGGAGTGAGACAAGGCCCTGGCTACAGGACCTGTCACTCTGGAGGAGGAGGAACCCTAACTTCTGACAACCCCTCTAGATCTCCCCAGTTAGAGGCAGCAGAAATGACTCAAGGGGAAGGAAGGGACAGGACAGGCTGGTGGCAATTCCCTCTAGTGGGCTGAGTCATGAAGTGGCCCCTCTGCTCCTTCTGGAGAAGAGCTGGCCCTGACCCAGGCCCCTGCCATCTCTGGCCCAGGGGTGGAGCCTGGGAAACCCTCTCAGAGCAGTTGAGCACCAAGTAGCCACAACCACAAGTCAAGATCTAAGCGGTCAGACCCGGTCGATGGTGGTGGCCCCAGGCAGGGATCCTGGTGTGGTGTGAGGTGTGGCTGACAGCCAAACCATCCGGCCATCTAAGCAAGCAGTCTATACCTTCCCCCACAGGCCAGCCAGCCCTCCCAGGCCAGCGACAAAAGGGGGACACCAAGGCCTAGACAGGGTCAAGATACCTGCCTCTCTCCCAGCCTGAGAACAGAACCAGGACCCTTGGGGAGAAAGCGGATACTCTAGTCTGCAGCTTGAGCATGGGGGAGGGTAGAGCTGGCCTGGAACCCCTAGGCCCAGGACCCTTCCCCACAAACCCCTACCTGGCCCCTTTTCTCTGCCCCTGTCTAGAGCTAGAACTCCTAACTTTGGCTGGGGCAGACAGAAGTTGAGAGAGAAAAATGGGAAGGAAATCAAAGGTCAAGGTCAGCCTGGTGACTCTCCACCCCACTTTGAGAACCCCCTCTGAGGTTTTTCACCAACCTACTTTGGTCAAGGAATGAGGGTCTTGCGACCCTCAAAGGCCAAACGTTAGGGATCCATCCTCACACATACACACAAACCTGTACACAGACGCATGCATCTACGGTAACAAATGCACACTGAGATGCATCCTAATTGTGCACACACGGACACCCACAGACGTGAGCACAAAGTCCCCAAACACTGATGTCTAAAGATGATTCCTTGCGACAATGTCCATTCAATCAGCCACTAGTACAAGTGCATACATGACCCTAGATATGCACGGGCAGTCACATCCAGATGTGCACACACAAGCACTGTACACAAAAGATAAGTGCACATGCGTGTACACTCTCAGATGTGTACATCCGGGTACACCCACCCCCAGGGAGGAACAAAAATATATAGATGGGCACACACTGGCACATCCACCCCCAGGCAGGCACACAGATACTTCCACTCCAGCTGGGCATGTACATGTACACCCACTCCCAGCCATGCAGTCATATGTGCCAGTTCTTATGTGCCCACCCCAGGCGACCAGTGGCTGCAAAAGCGAACAGGAAGCTTCCCCGGGCAAGTGCCTGGGAGGAGATCGGTTGCTACGGCCGGGGAGGGGGCGCAGTCGCAATCCGAGACCCTGGGCTCCCAGTCCTCCCTCCGTCCGCCCTCACCGTGGATGCCGGTCTGGTGCGCCATGGCTCTGTACCCCGCTCCGCCCACGCCCTCGGAGCCCTCAGCTCGGTCCTGGCCCCGCTCGCCGCTGGGACCCGGAGGAAGGGGAGGATGTGGTTGCGACCTCCCAGCCTCGCGCAGCTTCCCGGGCGGTGCCGCAGGACCCGCCCCCAGCGCGCCCCGCCCCCGACGGGCGAGGCCGGGAGGGGGCGGGGACTCGGGGCCGCGCTTGCGCGCGGGGTGCGCTTCGGTCTCGGGGGTCCGTGGCTGGAACTTGGTCCGCGTGTCTGGGCGCCTGCGCTTACCTCTGTTTGTAGTAGAGAACCGAGCCCGCGTGTGACAGTGCGTGGGGGCGCGCCCGTGAGTGTCTGGGCCCTTGGATCCGAGTGGTCTGCGGTTGGAGCGCATCCGTGCACGCGCACGCGCAGGCTCGCGTCTGTGCCCCCCAGGTCAGGTGGGTTTGCAGGAGGAGTGGAACCTGCGTCTATTCCTTTGGTGTGGGCAGTCGCACGCTGCATCCTGAGCATCTCCAGTCACTGGTCACCTCCCGGCTTCCCTCGCCCCCAGGGCCCCTGGCCCCCTGGCCTTGGCCTAAGGGTGGGAATTCAGACTGACCTACCGGACACTTAACAAATGAGCATTGTCTGCGAGGGTGAAGACCCCTAAGAGGAAGCGAAATGTGAATGGAGACCTGAAATGTGTGGGCATTATGGAGGGAAAGTTTGCAGAGAACAGGGAACTGTACATGCAGAGGTCCGGAGGTTGAAAGAGGCCTAGAAGTGAGAGCCAGACTCGGGGAGTCTAAGAACTTCTGGCTCCATTGTCTGCAGCCTTACGCAGCCTTACTTTATACCAGCCGGTCAGCATAATGTGCCTTCCAGCCGCTGATTGACTCAAGGTTGCGCACATTACCCACTTTGTTTGAGGAGCCTTTTTGGGAGAGGTTGCTGAGCCATGACCATGGGGTCTACAGCCTACTGGTATTTGGACCCAGCTTGAGTTCCCTCCTCATTATCCCACTACCTAACCCTGACTAGGTAGCACTGAGTCCCTGTCTGTGGGCCGCAGACAGGGTTTCTCTCCTGAGAGTTGAGCACAGAATCAGTGGGCCTTCTTGTTAACTTCTGCGCAGGCAGACGGATTCTGAGGGCTGGGCCTCTGCAGAGTGCTAGCCCGTCCATCCAGTATTCACAGTGAAACACACCCCGGAGCTCCACCTGGGAAGGACGGCTCAGAGGCAGATTCCCCCCTGCCACAGCTCAGATCGGGACAGCAACACACCACATTGGTCATATCAGCTGTCAGACCTGGCCACCTCCACAGAAGAACTTGGCAACTCCACAGAACCAAAAGAGCCTCAGCCCTCTTGGAACTGAGCATTAACCAAGAAAAGATTAATTCAAAATGTTATGTATTCTGTAAAAATATCCATCACTGGATGAACTGTGACTAGCTCAATTTCAGAATCTACCTGGCTGACTACTCCCTACTCACTCTGTTTATCCTTATGCCTCGCTGATACTATTGGCCTGGTTATGTGTTCCTATCTTCTCTTCACCATTAGTGAAGTTTTGGCCCCTGCTCTAGGCCTAGCACTTGAGCAGTGCCCACATTGGCTCAGTAGTATTTGCAAGATAGCAATTGTATGAATGAACCATTAGAGGTTTTGTGTCACACACCACATGACAAACCATTGAGGTGGGTATTTTCGTCTCCATTTTACAGAGGTAGATTCTGACCTTCAGAGATATGAAATGATTTGCTCAAGGTCACACACATGCGTGTCCCTCAGAACCTCAGCTTCTTTTGCTCAAGAGGTTGGAATACCATAGGCTAGAAGTCCTGCGGGGCACTGACCCTTATCCCTTGCAGCAGTATCTCATACCTCAGTGATGAGGGATTGACCACAGAAGGGAATTTCCTGGGGGGGTGGTTTTGAACCCAGTCTGACCTGCTTCCGATCCTGGGATGTGGGCGAGTGTCCCTAGGGCAAATGGAGTACCCAGACTCCAGCTCTGAGTGAGATCTGGTATCTGGTTTCCGGCAGAAAGATGAGAACTGCACAGAGCCCTCAGGCATGCCCGGGGATGTGCAGGGTGCCCAGGACTGACTGGTTGCGCCTTTCTCATCAGAATGAGCCCTTGAAATGACTTAAACCTTTTTTTCCCCTACCGTCAAAAATTTATTTATTTTTAAAAGATTTTATATACTTATGCATGTGGAACTGGGGTACAGGCCAGAGGTGCAAAGGGTGAGAGAATTCATCAGAGTGGGGAGCAGAAGAGGCAGATCCACAAAGTGCACTGCTGAAGGGAGCAGCAGGTGAGGCAGAAGAGATGTGCTGTGCCATGTGGATCACCTCTGGACCCGAGGATCGAATTCACACTGAAGCGGCTATGGCTAGCTTCATGGTGCTGTGCTTCGACCCACTGCTCCAACGCCCCAAGGGGGCCCAGGTCAAAAATGTAAATGTTCAAGTAAGTTATAAAAATGTTGAAGAAACAGTGCCCTCCCTGGTGGCACAACTGGTTAAAGCATAACACTATGAAGCTATCTGCACCCACTGCAGTACAAGTTTGATCCCAGCCAGGGAGCTGACCCACATGGCTTTGGCAAACCTCTCCTGCTCCCCTCAGGAGTGTATTTCAGTCAGTCTGTTTGTTCTGTTTTCCACTGTCTCTGGTGAATCCTCTTACCCATCATATCTCTGACCTGCACCCCAGTTCTTATATGCATAAATAAATCTTTTAAAAATGTATTGAAGAAACAAGAGGAGAAGTTTGTAGAGTCTTGGAGTAGAGGAGACCCTGTGAGTATGTGTCACCAAACCCAGAAAAACATTTTCATCAGGCCAAAATAAAAACTCTATACTCAGTAAGCAGTTATTTTCCATTCTTCCCTATCCCCAGCCTCTGGCAACTGTTAATCTATTTTCTGTTTCTGTGGATTTACCTATTCTGGACATTTATTATGACTGAAAACATAAATATGTGCCTGGATTCTCTGACTTAGCATAATTTTTTGGAGCTCCTTCCATATTGTAGCCTGTGTCATTACTTCATTCCTTTTTGTGACTGAATAATATTTCATTGTGCATATTCACCACCTCTTGTTTCTCCACTGATAGATCATCCAGTTATGGACATTTGGGTGGTTTCTACTTATTGGCTATTTTGAATAGTGTTGCTATGAATAATGAATGCCTTGACCCAGAAATTCTGTTAGTAGGAACTGATCTAACAAATATGCCAAACCTCCAATAAGGCAAAAAATTAAAAACAATCTGAATGCCCATCATTAGGAGGCCAGGTCCATAAAGTCTGCACATTTGTGGCAATTGTTCTGCAGTCTTACAGGACAAAGCAGTTCTTCAAGGACTACAAAAAGATAGCGCCACCTTATATGAAAATTTCAGGTACAGGATATGGCCTAGCGTGTGCATTTGTAAAGAAAAGGAGTGGAGGAGGAAAGATTTTACATATATATATATATATATATATATATATATATATAATTTTTACCAATTCACATATTTATATTGAGATATAATTGACATTAGTATTAGTTTAGGTGTACAACATAATGATTTAATGTATATATTATGAAATGATCATCATGAGTTAACAACTATCACCACACATAATTGCACATTTTTTTCTTGTGATGAGAACTGTGAATATTTACTGGGCTTCCTTGGTGGCACAAGGGGTTAAAGCACAGCACTATGAGGCTATCCACAGCCCCTGCGGAGTTTGATTCCCTGCCAGGGAGGTGACCCACATGGTGCTACAGACCTTTCCTGACCTATCTACCACTCCCCTCAGCAGTGTGTTTCAGTTGATCTTCCTATTCTGCTCCCCACTCTGTCTCTGGTGAATCATCACACCCCTCACACTTCTGCATAAATAAATAAATCTTAAAAAAAAAAGAGAGAGAGATTTGGCCCTCCCTGGTAGCACAACAGATTAGGACACAGCACTGCAAGCTAGCCGTAGCCGCTTCAGTGTGCATTTGATTCCCAGCCCCTGAGGTGACCCACATGGTGCAGCAGACCTCTCCTGGCCTGCCTGCAGCTCCCCTCAGCAGTGTACTTCGTAGGTCGACCTGTTCTGCTCCCCACTCTGTCTCTGATGAAGCCTCTCACCACCCCTGCACCTCTGTAAGAATAAATAAATCTTAAAAAAAAAAACAAAAAACTTGGTATAGCTAAAGAAATCTATTTAAAAAGAGAGAGAGATTTATTCCAGCAACTTTCAAATATTGGAAATATGAAAGTATTGCTAACTACAGTCCTCATGCTGTACATTACATCCTATGACTTACTAATCTTATACCTGGAAATCTGTATATTTTGGACACATTCACCCATTTTGTCAACCTCTCTTCCCCATATCTATTCTCCCTCTTTGAGTTCAGTGTTGTTGTTTTTTGAGTTCAGTTAGTTTGTTTTTTAAAGATTACACATTTAAGTGAAATCATACAGTAATCTTTCCCTGCCTAACTTTCTTCATTTGTCACAATGCCCTTAAGTTCCATCCATGTTGTCACAAATGGCAGGATTTCCTTTTTTATGGCTGAATAATGCTGTGTGTGAGTGTGTATACATATATACACACATCTATCTTACAACTTCTGGTTTGTTTTTTTTTTAAGATTTATTTATTTCTGCATTACAGAACTGGGGTACAGGCCATAGATGCAAGGGCAGTGAGAGGATTTACCAGAGACAGTGGGGAGCAGAACAGGCCAACTGATGAAGTACACTGCTGAGGGGAGCAGCGGGCAGGTCAGGAGAGGTCTGCCACACCATGTGGTCACCTCCAGAGCAGGCGGGGATCAAACTCATGCGGAAGTGGCTTTAGCTTCTTAGTGCTGGGCTTTAACCTGCTGCGCCACCAGGGAGGGCCCTATCTTACAACTTCTTTATTCATTCACCCATGTCTTAGCTATTAAAAATTATTCTGTAATGAACATGGTAGTACAGTTACATTTTTAGATAGTATTTTTTTTCTTCAACTAAATTCCCAAAAGTGGGACTATATCACATATAGTTCTAATTTTTTTGAGGAACCTCTAAACCATCTTCCATAATGGTTGCAATTTACATTCTCACCACAAGTGTTCCCTTTTTTCCACATCTGACCAAATCTTGTTGTCATCTCTGGAAGATGTCTGTTAAGGAGAGTTGCTGTTAAATATACTTTCACAACGTTTGAATTTTGAGTTGTGAAAGCACAGAATTTTAAAAATTAGATTAAAAAAATGTTAAAAGGGCCTCCCTGGTGGCCTCGGAGTTAAGTCTCCGTGCCATCACCAGGATGGCTCACCACAGCCAGAGTTCGATCCTCGGCCAGGGAGATAACCCACATATGGCACAGCAGACCACTCCTGTCTCACGGCTACTCCACTTAGCAATGTATTTCAGTAAATCTGCCTAGTCTGTTCCTCACTCTGTCTCTGGTGAATCCTTTCACCCCCTGCACCTCTGATCTACACTTCAGTTCTATGCAAAAATAAATATTAAGAAAAGATATGACTTAACCAAAGGTGTTTTCAGAGTGAGTGATAAAAAATTAGCATAAAAATATTTTCCCTTTTTCTAAGCTTGTTCCTCCCCTACTTTCCATCCCTCACATGCTGGTAGAGTTTGCTGAAGAGAGGCCCCTGGCCAGGAGAGGTGAGCTTGGGCTCATTCAGCAATTGGGAGATGAGTGTTAGTGGGGATTGAGTCGTTGCATGACTCCCAAGGCAGGTACTGTTCAGGAATGAAAACAGCCTTAAACCCAAGAAAACTTACCTATGATCTTAGACTAGAGAGAGAAGAACCTGAAAGCAGAGACAGAGAGAGAGACAAGGTGAATACAAGCTAATCCAGTGGTCAGGGAATGAGAACAGCATTGGATTTCAACAGCAACAGTCAAAAGACAATGAACAGTGGTCAGAATTTTAAGTTAAATATCATCAGAAAGGAAGGGCAGAACACAAATTTTCATACTTGCAAGGCCCTAGGAAATTATCTTCCAGTCAACCTTTCTCAAATAGTTCTTAAAAGATGTGCTTCAGCAAAATCGAGGGAATAAACCAATAGAGTTAAGTTTAGGAGATGTCAAGAACTCCCAAGAACCTCGGAAGACAGAGAAGCCTGTGGATTGAAGGAATAAACATTCAAGCCTTGGGGAGGGAAGATGGGATTGCCATTGGGCTCCACGGGCTCTGAAAACTTATAATAACTAAGCAAGGCAACAGCCTGCTAAGAGATTCTCTGGCCACACTGTAGCAGACAGGTCTTTCATCCTGCCCAGGTGAGTACAAGGTTGGGGTGGGGAATAGGTTGTGTTTGCATTATTTTTTTTCTAATTTAAAAGCCTCAGAGCCATTGATGGTTCATATACGGAGGAGACCTCACATACAAACAAACTGGGCTGCCCAAACTGGGTACCTGGTTCATTTCTGTTCCAGTGATGGAGCAAAGCCCAGTGTCTTTGGGAGACTTTCCTTTACCCCTTTGCCAGCCAGACCAAGCTCCATCTACCAAGACTTCTACTATCCCTGCAGGAGCTGTGTGTCCATGAATGCTGTGTCCCTCTGGCCTGGCGCCCAAAGTAGGGTCAGTAAATTGGCCCCCCAGGGTGCTCCAGGATTGAGTCATCTGAAGGAAGAAGCTGTGGGTGCAAATCCTGCACCCACAGTCCTGAACCTTCTTGAGCAGAAGGAATTCCCAAAAGGGGCTGGGCTGGCTGCCTGGAGAAAGTGTAGCCAACTGAGCATGCTAGAATTGGAAGTGCGGGGAAAGCAGGCACTCCTACTCTGGCCCTCTCTGGGGACCCTTAGGGGTTGACCTCAGGAGCTTTGAATGAGGTAGCCTGCCTTTTGGGGGCAGGAAAGCAGAAGAGAAATCCCCTGTGGGGGGTGGTTTGAGTCAACTGAACTGTCATAATGGAAACAATACAGCTTTGGGCTTCCAGACACTTCCCTTCTCAGGGCCCAGGTCCTCCATTATGAATTGGAAATAAGAGTCCTGCACAAGGAGTTGGGCTTTGGTGACAGAGATTCACACTCAGATGGGAAGGTGGACACTGTCAGAGACCCTACAGGTGACAGCCGGGAGTAAAGGGACTATACCATTTTGTTTCCAGACCAGATGAGTCTTTTATTTTCCTTAGTCCCACGTGCAAACTCTTGACCAGCTGGAATCTTTCAGGGACCTTGGAGTCTTCTTGTCCATCAGTCTAGAGAAGACCCTGCTGTCTGCCCAGAGAGGATATCTTTGTTTGCTTTTAATGTTACAGCAATCAATATTTTATTACACTTCCTATTTTATTTCCCCTCCCCCGTTATCCCTCCCCAGCGCCTACAGGGCCTGCCCCACTTCAACTTCAGCCCTCACAGTGGTTACAGATGTCCATTCTTTTTTTTTTTTTTTAAAGTATTTTACTTTATGGAATTGTTTGTTATCTAAATGCCCAGTATTTGTTTTTCCCTTCTAACTTGCTTTACTACACTTAATTCTCACAGAGAATTCTCAGAGAGTTAATGAACTTGCTTTACTACACTTAATTCTTGATGGAAGGGGCAGCAGCTGATATAAATGGCCCAAGAATGGGAACAGGATGGGGACGGTCAGATGACTACAAGTTCCCTCTGAGGGTGCAGGGTGCAGGAACAGAGGCCACCTGAAGGAACGATGGCCTGACAGGCTTACTCATATCAGTCTGACACCCGGGGGCTGAGGGACTGCTCTGAACTAACCCTAAACATCTTTAGGTAGGGAGGGAGAACTTTTCCCTCGTTTGTGGTGAGCTTCCATCCCACTCAGGTTTCTGTGTCACAGGGGGAAGCGACTTCGCCTCTCAGGGCCTCAGTTTTTTTTTTTTTTTTTTTTTTTTTTATTACAAAGTTTATTTTTACATCATTTTGCACATATTTTTTTCCATCTTGATTGTAATCCCCGTGAGAGTTTTTACCATTATTGGGTGTTGAATTTTGTCATATACTTTTTCCCTGATCATGTGCTTTTTTTTTTTTTTTTTTGCCTGTAAATTTGGTAGATTACATTGTTTGGTTTTCTAACATTGAATCAGCATTGAATCCTTGAAATAAACTCCATTTTGTTATGGTATATAGAGGTTTTTTTAAT